TTTAACCCACATTGATTCGAAGAATTTCAAAGCATCGTCTGTGGACCCACATTTCGTGTACATCGAGAGAATCGTGTTGCTCGTCATTAAGTCCCGAGCGAAGCCCGACTTGACAAAGCAGCAATGAAGGTACCTGCCTGTGCCCAAGTCGTTCAGCTTGGCGCAACCGCGAAGGAGGGCCGAAAGTACAACTGGTGAGGGGACCACGCGGGACTCGTTTGCCTTCATTTTCGTAAACAATCCGAATGCCTCGTTTACAGAGCAACAATCAACGCAAGCCCCGATTACAGCGCTCCACGTGATTTCATTTCTGTATTCCAATGACGAAAATACACACTTCGCGTAAATCAACAGCCCACATTTACCGTACATATCTAGAAGTCCTGTCCCTACCACGACGTCGATATCAATAGCCCTTCTCAAACAAAAACTGTGAACAGACTTTCCTTCACTCGACCTTCCTTTCTCGCCTAATACGGGCAGAATCGCAACGAGAGTCGATGAATTGGGATCCACCCCAAACTTCTGCATCTTGCAAACCAAACTAATAGCATCCGAATACATTCCGTGTGATGAGAATCCGTTGATCAAAGCATTCCAAGCCACAACATCTCTTTCAGGCATTTTATCAAACACGTTCTTAGCCTCCACCATGCACCCACATTTCACATAGAAATCGACCAGGGCCGTACAAACATACACGTCAGTCTCAAGACCGTACCTTTTCGTGTCCTCGTGGATTCTCGCGCCGGTTTCGAAATCCTGCATAGCAGCACAGGCCTTGAGGACGAAAGGGTAGGTGTACTTGGTGGGCTCGACGCCGGAGCCCACCATCTGACCGTACAAATCGAGGGCCCTTTCGAAGGGCCCGGCCCACGCGTAGGCCCGGATCAATTGGTCCCACAGTATGGTCTTGCTCTTCTTTTGGTGAGCTGGGATAGAGTCGAAAACTCGGTGTGCGAGCTGAGGGCTGTTGCAGGAAATGTAGAGGCGAGCGAGCTTGTCAGGGACTGATGATGCGGCAAGCGAGCCGAAATCTTGGCCGTTGATTTTGAGGAGACGCTGGTGGACCGTCTTGCCCTTTTTGAGGGATTTCGACGCTATGCAGGCGTCAAGAAGTCGGAGGTAACTGTTGGCAGCGGTCGAGACGGGGACCCTGTTTGGCATTATTTTTTTATGGCCAAAAAGCCCTACAAATTGCGGACTGCTCCTTATTTCGAGACGGGGACCCTGTTTGGCCTTAAAAAAATGAATGTTATTCTAATTTGAATTTATTCAGATTAAAAATTATATATTTCGAAACAATTTCAATATTTGCATACTTTTCTATTAGTACAGCATCCGATTTTCTTCATTTCTGTTTTCATTCAAGTTATACATAAAAATAGAGTTCATATTCAACCATTTTATTCAAGGCAATATAAATTATTCCATGTTATTTTACGTTACTAGGAAGTTCTAACTTCTAACACGGAGGTTAGCCATGGCAGCTTATGCAGAGCTGTACTCTCCCTGGAGAATATTCAAAATCATCGCCCGCCCCGAAACAACAGATCCAATCTCTCATCAGTCCTTATGAGACAATTTGTCGTGTCCACAACTACGAAAACAAGGATTTCACAAGTTTTCAGTCGAATATTCCAACTAGTTGAAATTTACATAAATAAGTACCAAACTTGACAACAATGGTTAGGCTGATGCAAACCCATGTATAGAATTTATTGACCTGATGCTCAATTGTTAGTATATGTGTCCTAGAGACAATCAATGTGGGACAAATGTACTTGATCACA